TNTATATATATATATATATATATATATATATATATATTGTATATTGATAGACAAAAGATTTTCATTTAAGTAGTATAAATTATGCACACATATCAAAGTTTGAGCTATCTATTGTGCAGATACATTGTTGACTATTGAATGGGAAACTAGTGAGGGAGATTGTTATAAAGAATTACATGCTGATTTTTGTAACATTTCGTTCTATGATTTAACTAGAGAACTCAATGAGGAAGTAATGAAGGGACATTGTTATAAAAAATTACATGTTATTAGTTGTATGGTTTAACTAAGAATCATACCATTCAATAAAATACCTTCATGTCGTTATTTTGCGCTTGGTCACACGCGCACACCCATAATATTTGTAACATTAAAATAGTTGATATTAGGCAAAGTAAGATTTTTGGGTTTTTAAGTGCCATACATTTGACATTTTGTCTTTTTTTTTTTTCAAAACGATATAGATATTATATTAAAGCGCACTACAGCCACAAACTGAATACAAACAGCCAACAAGTTGAATACAAGCAATCAATAACTGAATAAACTGGGAAGACATTTTGTCATTTAATTATCTATTTTTTATTGGATTCGCTATATTAATAGGACGACACCCATCGGAAATTAAACGAAATAAAGGTAACATTAATTTATCGAATAAATTCTAAACTTGTTGACTCACGTACGTAGCGATTATAACGAATATCATCTTTTAAAATCACATAATAATATGAATTTTGATTTTTGAAAACTACCTTAATTTTCTTCTTAATGAGCAACGACAGATAGAGAATCAATTTTTGTGTATGTGACAATCACCATCTCGTTTATTTTGCTGTAGGTATCCACTCGTCTCCCTCTAAAAAAAGTCCACTTTTTGAATTATGGCTCTGAGAACAATCTCTTTGTTAGTAAAAATCGTCTCAAGAATGAATAGATAAAGAATAAATAGAAGAGGAGATTTTTTAAAGTTAATTAAAAACTCACAACCAGATTAAATTTATTAAAATTCGGCCGCAGGCTCGTAGCCAAAGAAAAAAAAAAACATGCAAGTGAATATTGTTCTTGATTTTTGGGAATCCGCAGCGATGGGATCATGTTGTTGATCGTCGACCCTCTTTCAGACCCTTGCCCGCGGTAGATAATCGCGCCAAGAACCGGATCCCGCCTAACCGCCCGACGAATTCATCGAGTTGGATAAATCCTTATTCCGCTCTTTCGGGATTTATGTTAGGAAGTTTTAGAGCCAAACAGGGATAATCCACTCTTTCTTTCTCCTGTCCTCAGTGTCATCTAGCAAAACATGTTGTCTTGCTTCCAATTCTTGAAACTGGGACAATAAATAATGTTTTTCCTTTATAAGACCACTGAGCTCTAATTGTTTTCTCCGTACGGGTTTTAGCAATCATAGCTCCATTGAGAATATTAGAATATCACTTGTGAGTACTTCGGCAGTCCAAGCCTAACTGAACCATAATTGAAAATTAATTGAGATATCAAAATATTTTTGTCATAATGTTTTTATATCCATTTATAAGCCTGGACCATAGCAAGTCTTAGTTGCGCCTCGCCCAGATCTACGACCTCTGTGGTTGCTCGAGCCTCCTGCGGGTTGTTCAGGCCTGCAAGTGCAACTGGGACCGCCGATGAGCTCTCTAAGCTCGCAGGATGAGGCGTCGAGGTCATTAGGGTCTAAAGAGGTCCGGAGAAGCCTAGTGGTGGGCCTGCTCTGAACAGACGCGTGTTCGGCCATGCAATGATCGAATGTTTGCTCTAGATTTCTCTTGGGAATCTCGTTCGCTATGATTGAAGATGAAGGAGCTTCAATGGCTCATTGAACAAAAGTCCAACGGGTGGCGTCAAATGGTATACAAAGTACCTTTGACCGACTAGAATTCAACCTGCTCTGAGCTCCTTGCTGGTAGAACGTCTTGGAGACCTGCAATAACTCTCATACCCGAGAGGTTTTCCCGTGAAGAGCCTCTGATGCTTAAGCTAACACTTGTAGAAGATAAAGTGTAGTACATATGTAGAGAATATAGAAAATGTAATGTGATAATGGACATACCTCAACCTTAACTCAACCTTCAGTATCCTCAATATTATAAATATAATTAAATAATAACAATCAATTGTCCAATTAAATGAACTTTAATTCACTATTCATCTACTCACATAATTTTAACTACCTATTACTCTCAATCACTTTTCTCTAACTTTTACATCAAATCAAATTTAATCATTTTATTTTAATTTAAATCTAAAATTCCACTTAAACCCAAACTCAGCCAACTTTTTTCAAAATAACAATGGTTAACCAAAAAATCCACTCAAAACTAAAAAAATTAATAAACAAGCATGGCCTAAATTGAAATCAGCTATCAATTATGACATACATGTTTTGTTCACCTACCAAGTACCAACTTTTTCAAATCAGTTTAATCAAGCAAATCAGTTAGTGCTTGAATATCATATTTTTTTTATTGGTTTTTTTGGGTTAACTATGGTTTATTTTGAAAAAGATTATAAGATTAGTTGTTAAGTGAATTTTAAGTTTGTATTAGAATAATATTTAAAATAAAATCATTAAAGTTGATTTGATGTAGAAATTGAAGAGAACTGATAGGTAGTTAAAATTATGTGAGTGGATGAATAGTGAATTATAGTTGATGTAATGTGTAAAGATGATTGGATGATATTTAATTATATTGATAATATTGAGGATATAAAAATGCTACAACTACATAATAAACCGGCCCTTATGTGGCCGGTTTAGGGCCGGTCCGGGTCGACGGGCCGGGTCGGCCCGTGGCCATGTCTACCCGAGGTAACCTCGAGACAATCGCCGACCGCCGCTGACCGTCCGATGAGCCACCACGAGCCGCAACGACGCACACCGCAGCTGCTAGCCCAGCGCACGCACGACGCCAGTCGACGCACGCGCATCCCTGACGACAACGCGCGATACCTGGCGACCATCGAATTATCAGACGTGACACATGACGAGACATGAATGACGAGTCGTGAACAACTTTTCAGAACCGTTCGTCCGACTCCGCAAGCCGTGTAAGTCTGTACAAGCTTTGGAAATTGTAAGCTATCAGTGTTCAATCTTTACTTTAGTCCGCTGTACTGTAGACTATATCTGTGACTTGCTCGATTTGATGTTTCTCATAGAACCCCAACTTTTAGATGTATGAGGAATCCTGTGAAATCTTAAGTATGGGAGTGAGATTTTGTATATAATTTTTTCTTTTGAAATCTCTGCAAATCTAAAACGATTTGAAAAATCATAGTCTCGAATAAATTAAAAAATCAGGATCAGGCTTTTTATTCTGACATCTATATATATATATATATATATATATATATATATATAATTTGGAGTAACAAAGCATTAAATTATATTATCTCGCATTTAATTATATTATCCCGCCTAAACTTTTCAGCATTTAATTATATTACTTTCATTTCCTGCCTAAAGCAGTTATAGATATTATAATATTATTATATTTTTTTACTTTTTTTCTTACATCACCTAATCAGTCTAATAGTAATATTAATTGCATAATGTTTCAGCTAAAATCGTGCATTTATATCAACTTAAATAAATATCAAAAGCTTTTGTTTTTTCAATCAAATTTGCAAGTAAATATGATGTATACTTAAAGATCTTANAATATTAGTAACAAACATAACAGATCTTGATATATCCGTACTATAATCGCCCTATTGAACCATTTTCTTATGATTCATTAAAGTATGTTAGCAAAATAGAGACAACAATTTAAAATCAAAACAAAAAATATCAAATCGACTTCTGAAATTAACTGAAAACACGGTTTTTAAAAAATCATAAATTCTTAAAAAACTATTACAGATCTTGATAGATCCATACTATAATCGCTCTATTGTACTATTTTCTTATGATTCATTGAAATATTTTAGCAAAATAGGGACGACAACCTTAAATCAAAACAAAAAGTTTCAAATCTTGATAGATTTGTTATGTAATCACCAGATTTTCACTATTTTATGATTTAGTGAAACGGAATTCTATAATGGGAATGATTTTGATGTTATATCTCTGTTTTGTTTGAAATTTTTTGTTTTTTGAAAAAATTCAGAATTTGATCGGATATCTCGCCGGAAAAACAAAGAAAAGTGCATGATTATCGACTAAAATTGATAAAAAAAAATGAGATCATTGATATTTTTGACAGAGAGAAAAAAGGTGTGATCCGCCGATAACAAGTGTGAAATGAGCTTGAATCATGGTGTGTTCGGATTATTTACGTTGAGGGTTTTGTAACCCTTTTTGTGGTAACCGATCTTACCTGTTACCTGACTCTCTCTCTCTCTCTCATCAAAAAATATGTATTGAGTTCAATTTGAATTTTTTTTTTCGGCTTTACCTAATCAGACCTATTAAACAAATAGTTTTACTGAGAATATTGGCCCAAGTCATCCTTACAAGTTTTTTAATAAAAAAATTAAGCGTAATTCACAACATTTTTTAATATGTTATCAAACCCAATGCAACTACTTTTTATAAGGCAATTATTTGTTCAGTAGATAATTTCGGCCAAAATATTTAATAATGCAAGTGTTTAATAATATTTATAATCATTTTTTTAATTCATATTTTTCTTTCATGAATTAAATTATAATTATGTATTTTTTTTTTTCTATTTATGTTGTTATCTTTTCTAAGTATTCTCCTTCCGTGCAAATGCACGAGTTAATTACTAGTGGATACATAGACTTTTCAAAGTCTAAATTAAATACACCAGTAATACTAAAGTCTTAAAAAGTCTTCAATTAGATTTCAAAATTTTAAAAAAACTCAATTCTAATTTTTTTTTAAAATGCCTCCTAAAATTCAGATAAACTTTTCTTAATGAAGATTTCTCTTAAATTTAAAAATCTTAAAAAATCGCAAATCTAAAAAAAAAAAAATTTAATCTCTTCAAGTCCGTCAAGAATACACTAGTAAAAAAGGAGAGGGGTAAAATGGAGTAATGAATCTGAAATTTTCCCGTAAAAACTACCAATTGAAGCAAATTAGCAAAGTGGAATTGGCACACTGGTAAAAACTACTACCTCCTGCAAAGTGAGCGTAAGAGCTCCGAAATTGAAAAATGGCCGACCGCGTTAAACCAGCTCACGACGGCAATGAAATTGCCCGGGATGACTCCGCCGCCGGTACCAACATTGATGACCTGGAATCCCTCCGCCGGGCCGCCCGGGAAATACCATCCGAAGTCCTGAAAGCTTTGCTTCTCAATGGCGTAAGTTCTACCCTCACAACCATTTTTTCTTTCTCGATTGATTGTGATTACTTATCGTTTGGTGAATAACTCGGGTGAAGGAAAATTGCGGATTTTGGAATTTCGTCAGTTTCTCTTCAATTTATCTGCGGAGCTTGGAAGGTTTAATAAATTCTAGAAGCACCGATTAATTTGAATTAGAAATTTTTTCGTGAAGTTCAAAAAAGTTTCTTTTTTCTTTTTCTTTTTAATCTTAATTGATTGCTTGTGCAGTGTATCTTTTTTATCGTAGTTTTAGATTGAAACTTGAAGTGCTTCCATTGAATTTAAATGGATCTTTCTTAATTTTTGGTTATGAAATTGAAACTATCTGAACATAGTTCTAGTGCTAAGTTTAAGTACAGGTCCTTTAAAAGCTTAGTATAGAAAATTCGGTGCCCAATATGACGAAGCTCTTATAACTGCTGCAGGTTTGTGCACAATGCATATTCAGGCTACTTATTCTTCATGAGCAAATATGTTCTCGTCCTTCTGTGGCAACACCGATTTTGAATAAAATTCTACATGAATTATCAGAACACGAAGAAGATGGAGCTAATAGCAATGTCAGAGGAATGGGTCAAGATTTTAAGGACGATTTTGAAGTTTGCAGGGTCTGTCTAGGCATCTTGCAGTTTGTATACAATAATGACGACAAGGTGTTGGTGAAAAAGAATAATGCTAATGACTTTGCTGCTGCAATAGCAGATGTTGTGAAGAAAGAAGGCCACCAAGTTGACAGCTTTTCTCTCGAGGTCTCTCTGCCGTCAGCTGTAGTTGATAACGATCAGGCAGTTTGGTCAGTTGGTTTTGTTTGTGGTTTGGTGAATGTGATTTGGTTGTCCTTGATGATGTTGGCTTCAAATAAAATCCTAACTATTTGTTTACTTTCAAAAAGGATAATACTGATTTTGAACAGACCCTTGGATGTCCTGATATCGTGTATATTTTTAAGTATTATGATTTAACAAATGAAGGTTTTTCTTACCAGTCATGTTTGTTTCAGGTCATATATAAAAGAGAAGTACGGTTCTCAACCTTGGTTCCAGGAAAAGATTCCACCTGAAAGCATAGCTGTAACTGTGAAGGATTTCTTGAAACTGTCAGTGGCAAGTCCTTTAGAGAAATTATTGGTAATTTTCGTGGCTTTCTATGGACTTCTATGATGGGAGTTGTGATATAAATTATTTGAGGAATTGTGTTCTGATTCCATCTTTTTTATTTCTTTAATGAATTAATCTCTAGAATACTTGGAGTATTGCAGGATGTGAAGTATAATGAAAGTTCCTTCAGAATTCGTTTGACATACACACTTTCTAATGCATCAGCAGAAGGACAGAGGTCTGATGAGAGCAATGGATGCTATAAGAAGAGAAAAGTAGGCACGTCCTTTTCTTTTCCTTTCATTACTTCTTTTTTTCTTGCATGCGGCAAATACCTTTCCTGGGATCATATCTCTGATACATAAAATCCCCTGTCCTGAGTGAAAATCCTTTGAGTCATTAATAATAATAATCAAAATAACAGTGTGGACATATATATTAGAAATGTTTGTTCTTCATTGGTCTTGAATCCTGCATATCTTGTGTTCCCGTGTAAATTGTTGAATGGGACAGATGACATTACCTCCGTCAAAAGCTGTGATGGCTCGTGTGAAATTGAAAGCCATGTACCCAGTGGAAATTCTTCATTTGACTCACATGATGGTGGGGCTGGTTTCTTAGCTTTCCCAATAGAGAAGGTACACTTCATGCTCACATTCACTGATTAACTGCTTACTCGACTCTTAACAACCTGCTTCTGTGTAAATTTCTTGCCTTCCAAATAAGGAGCGCCAAATATTATTTGAACTTGCTATTTCCAGGTCAATCTGTACTGCGTCCCGAGTTTTCAATGCTACAAGACTCCAATCTATGTCGGTGGGCGATATCTTAAGGTTCATTTACTATACCACTTGACATTTAATAGTTGGTGTATTTTAGCTATGGCATATATTGTCATGAAGATTATTTCAAAAAAAGAAGCCAACCCACTGATTTCCCAAATTGACATCGACAGTAACTTATTCACGATAACCTAAAATTATGGGGGCACTCCTTTTTACTGCAGTACTCTAGAAATGTCAGCCAGACGCGTTGGATTATTGATGACGAGCGAATGGGTGAAGCATCTATTGAGGTTAAGCAAATTCTTCAATCTTTTCGTCACTTTTTCTGACTTATGATAATAATAATAATAATTTTGCATAATCCTTTTGCAGGAAATAGTTGGCGGCAACATCCTTCCCATTTGTCAGGGTGATAGTTACAAGTTTCATGCTTCTGGCCGAGAAGATATTGATGTATAATCTTTTGATTCTTTAACTTATTTTTTAGAGATCAAACTATTAACCCATAATCTTTTTATCTATATAAATTCTAAATATGTTTCTTCAGGTTCGGATGCTCGGTTCCGGGCGGCCTTTTCTAGTCGAGATTCAGAATGCACGCCAATTTCCTTCTGATGTGATAATAAAGGACATTGAAATGAAAATAAATAGCCTTGAGAGCCAATTTGTGAGTCATTAATATTTTGATTTTGCAGTGGCTTTCATCTTCTGAATGATTTGTTATAGGATATGTTTTGCTTGGATTTCTAGGTGAGAGTAAAGAATCTCAAGTTTTTAGGAAACCAGGGTTGGGCATTAATGCGTGAAGGAGAAGCCGAGAAGCAGGCAATTTCTATATATGTTTTCTTAAAATTATATATTTATCCCCAGGGCATTTTTCAACTGATAAAGAGCATGCATGCTGAAAAATACTGTGCATTTTGTGCAGAAACAATATGCTGCTCTTGTTTGGATTTCCCGTCCTCTGAATGATGAGGATGCATGTACATTATCATCCCTCAAGGACTTGGTAATTTCAATTTCTCTTTCATTCTGGAATAGATGAGATTTATGTAATTTAATGCGTGGTATTTTCAAAAATTAATGTATATACATTTATTGTGCTTTAGCCCCTTCATGCGGCAACCCTTTTCAGTATGTAATTATCGTTACATTTGTTTGCCAGCAAATATTGCAGAAAACACCGATAAGAGTTCTCCACCGCCGAAGTCCATTAGGGCGTGAGAAAACCATACATTGGTACTTAAGTTTCTAATTAACATGTGATGCTATCTTTTCATGTTCTCCATATCTATTTACTTGAGTTGTTCTTTATATTTCAGGATGAGAATAGAGAGGATAGCCGGAAGTGCTCAATATTTCATGCTGCACTTGTGTACACAGGTTAAGTATTTCATTCTTTTGGTGTTTGACTGATTCAACCTATTTCTGAACCAAAATCGTATATGCTCACATAAATGTCCAATTGAAACTCATTTTAGCAGTAAAGTTTCACTAACATAATAAAAAAAATTACCCAACAATTCACAAAAATGACATTCATGTGCCGACCAGGCTGGAACATACATCAAGGAATTTGTTCATGGAGATCTTGGGCGCACTCATCCTAGGTAAGGTTTAACCAGCTCATATGAAAGATCCATTCATATTTTATTTTATTTTTATTTTTACCATTTTGTTGCTCCTAGAGTTATATCCACCTTTTCTTAACCTTAATACCTTATATCATGCTTTGTGTTTTCAGTGTCGGTTCAATCCTGGGATGTAGAGCAGAAATACTACAACTTGACGTGACGGATGTGAAGATGGACTGCTTCCAGGCCTAAAATTCACTATCTTGAACTTGGTTTTACATTGCTATTGAATTCAGAAACTCCATAGACAATAATTGATGAAAAAAAAAGAAGGTAATCCAATCACCATTGCTTAAATGTGCATTGTGGTACCCATTTTTAGATGAATGTCTAATATTAGGCTCTGATAGAATTACAGAAGGATAGTGTTACTTGCAATATTTTCAAGTATTACATTAATGAGATGATCCTGAAGGAGACCATTATTTATGTAAATCCTTCAAATAGAAACACGCATATTGATGTTCCATAGTCTATAAAGCTCTGTGTCTTCCCTGGCAGCATATTCTAGTCAGTCCACCATGCATCCACCATCTTTGCCATGAAACTGTACCTATCTGCAGCTTCATCAATCTGAGACAATTTTTTAGGTCGAATTCAAAAAATTTAATAATAGAAAAACAAAATACACATAATCTATAAAATGAAAGTTGTATTTTCATCATTCAGTATTTTCTTACCATTTTTTGGGTCGGCATCCCAGCACCATGTCCCGCCTTACGTTCTATACGTCCAATAATTGGATTCGTTTGAGGACTCGTCTCCAAGCTTGTACATAGCACATGTTGCATGGTCTTTGATAAGGGGGAAAAAAGTAAAACAGGTGGAAGTTAGCTAGCAGTAAATAAATTTTCTTCACAAGCCAATCAATTTTCCTACTTGTAGCCAGCAATAATTTTCTCAAATTAGATAAAATAGCGAAATTTTGGGGTAAAATTTCGAATCATATAAAATACGGACCGCCAATAACTTGAGTGAGTGCAGAGGTACGACCCGGTCATCATGGTCTGCTGTGAGCAACATGGTCGAAGGATATTGCACTAACGTAAGACGAGATTTATTATCCCATGGCCTCTTCACATTGTGCAACGGTGAGTACCTGACAGAACATGGATTTATTCATATACATGAAGCATTCAGGTTGAGTTTACAAAGAGCAATTCAATAAAGATTGCTTCTTTTAGTGCAAATCTAGGCTCAGTTAATCTTCTGGGCAACCGTTAAATTCGATTAGACGAGCAATTCGACCAGAATAACCAACGTTAGAAACTGAATGTCCGTGACGATTAGGCTAAAGTGAAAAAGCCAGTTGAAGGTGTTCTTGCTTAAGTTAAAAGAGCTTTACTTGATTAGCCAATGGAACTCTTCCTCTATATCTGAACAACCGAAGTCTGATGTCCATGCATGGCCTGGTTTACGGAAAATATTGATAGATAAGTAAAATATATAAGGAGAGAGAGAGAGAGAGAGAGAGAGAGAGGGGCCCGACCGATGGTAAACTTGTGAAACCTTAGCAAGTCCATGACACCAACATGAGCAAGTGCACAGCCAAACAGATCAGGTCTCTGCAAGTTACAAAAATTGATCATTTTCTAAATTGAAAATCA